ATCTTTAAAGTTTTCTAGGTGATTCCAGTGTGCCGCTTTAGACCTCACTATTCCAAGTACAGTGCCTGGGCACCACCTGGGAACTTGCTAGAAATGCAGAGCCTTAGGCCCAACCCCATCTGATCGCAGTGAATCAGAAACTCCGTTTCATGAAATAACACATGTTGAACATTTAGGATGGGGCTGGCGTGCAGTAAGAACTAAGTAGATGGCACTGCTATTTTTATTTATTAAAGTCCACTACATGGTCCTCTAACGTATTCTTATTTGCTTACATTTGTTCCATTTACAGACCTTGCAGCAGCTCCCAGTGTCTCTTATAGGATACCATATGGTCTACAGCACATATGGACATGCAAATAAATCCTAGTTTATCCACATTCTCCCTCCAAATCAGTAAGTTTTCTCTCTTTTTTTTTTTTTTTAGTAGGCTCCACACCCAACGTAGGGCTTGAACTCACGACCCTGAGATCAAGAGTCACATGCTCGGGCGCCTGGGTGGCTCAGTTGGTTAAGCGACTGCCTTGGGCTCGGGTCACGATCCTGGAGTCCCGGGATCGAGTCCCGCATCGGGCTCCCTGCTCGGCAGGGAGTCTGCTTCTCCCTCTGACCCTCCTCCCTCTCATGCTCTCTGTCTCTCATTCTCTCTCTCGCAAATAAATAAATAAAAAATCTTTAAAAAAAAAAAAAAAGAGTCACATGCTCTACTGACTGAGCCAGCCGGGCGCCCCAATAAGCTTCCTTTCAGAATCCAAAGATGATGTTTCCTCTAGCATCTTAAAGTTGCTAACATTTTGCCACCCTGAACATATAAGCCCACAGGAACTACGAGTAGAGGTTCACATGCCAAATGCAACATTTCTCAGTTCCTCTTCCACACAAGCTCCCCTCTCTTGTGATCTTCCTCCCGCCCCCTGATCTTCCCGTAACTGGGAGTGATTGGAACTCTCAAAAGTCTACGATGGGTATTTCTGGCATCTGGTGGAGAACTACAAAATACATTAACCTTTTCAAACTGAGGTGTGAAATATTTGAGTGGCACCAATTATTTTAAGGATTGTGCCTATTTGATAAAGCTTACACTCCTCCCTCTTACTCTGAAGCACAGCTGGACATACAATAGAGAATCAAATTTTATTTACTGCATGGATGAACTGGAACCGCTATACTTGCCGAATTTAATAACACTTAAAAATGAGATACGCTTTACTCTGTCGGGGCAAACAAAGTTAATGTTAAAAAAAGCCCTTGCTTTCTACTTTATCCAATTTCTTCATATTCCCCTCTCTGCATACTTTTAGCAAAAGCCCCTGCTTGGTCCTGGCACTGTAGGAAGTACTCTCCATACTTCCACTATTTGTTGGTTAAAATAATCTATGAGGTATGCACTACTACCATAGCATTTATTTTCCAGTTGAGGAGACTGAGACGTGGAGACCTGATCATGAGTCAGGGTCTCACAGCCTGCAAGCAGGGCTGGGAATCCCGGACTCCTCATCCTGAGTGGGCTCCACAACCACGCCCCACTAGGCACCTTCCCTAATTTGTGTTAATCTCGCTGGCATCTTCATGCTTTCTTCCACATAGTGCAGCACCTCTTATCTTCCTCAGGGTGAAGAGCTGTCAAAGCTAACCCAGAAACTTAAAAAAAGGAGGAATCCTATGTGCAAATACCGTTCAATTTCCAAGCAGATCATGCTCTTTCTAATTCTCATCCAGACAAGATCCAACTAGTGTTCCCTTCACATACACTTTTCAGAAAAAGAGGAACTGCTGAGAAGAATAACATTAATGAGTTTATATTCCAGATAACCCTGAATAAATTACTGAGCTTCAGTAAAAATTAGCAAACACTCCAACACAAAGGCAATGACCATCAGGAGCCAGCAGAGATTCAGAGCACTTGTCTAACTAACTCATCTCCATATTCAAAAGGTTCCTTCACCTGAAGATCAAAGGAAGCCTTAGATAATTCACAAGAATTAAGTTTCTCTGAAGAGGGCAGGGCACTGAATGGTCTTTCTGAAAAAAGTGGACAAGTGAGCCCAAAGATGGTGCCTCACTGGTTTCAAAACTGGCTGATCCCTCATGTCCCATGTGTTCTCCATAGCCAGTCATGTGTTCAACAAACACTTTTGGGCTCGTGCTGGACTGTGAGAATACGGTACTGACCAAAACACCCAAACAGGGCAAAAGTGGACGTACCTCTGCACTCAGGGGTGAGCAGTCTGAAAGAGCCACATGATAGAACAGCCTGGGGAAAGAGGCAACAAGATGACTGGGTCTGGAGAGAAGGTAGGAAAACTGGAGCAGAGCAAAGATCACACAAGTCAGGCAGAACAGCAGGAAGGCTGGCTTGAAAGCTGGGCTTCCTGTCTCTGTTTTGTTATAAACAGTTTTACCCATTGGAGGAAAAGAACAGGGGAAGCTGCTCTAGTTAATATCTCTTCTCATTGTTGCCCTAGGTTAGAAATATTACATATCTTTGTCATTCTTATCTGTCAGGCTAAGTCACCAATTACCTTTTCCTTAGTTATCATTTTTTCATTCGACATGCCAGACCTGTGTTAGAGGCTGGGACCGCCATGGGGAAAAAGAACCCTGCCTTGCCCTCAAGTTGTTGACATCATGTAGAGCATGGAGGAAGGTTGAGGACTCCAAGGCTCAGACTGAACATTATGGGTAAAGCCCACCTGGAGAAGATGGGAGGGAGACCTCCCTGCTCAAGTGTCTCTAAATGTGTGGTCAGGGTCCATGGCAGCGAGCTGACTTTGCACTCTCAGAATGTGCAGATGCTTGATAAAAATGCAAATTACAGAACCTATTATCAGTTTAGAGAAAAGAACTATTTAACATTGAGAAGAGTTGATAAGAATTTTTTCTCTTAGAAAGGGGGTATCTCCATCCTTGAAAACAAAGTCTGTTACAAAACAGGAGCCAAATATAGTGCTTCTTTATGCTAACTTAAAAATGCCTGTACAGGGGTGCCTGGGTGGCTCAGTCGTTAAGCGTCTGCCTTCGGCTCAGGTCATGATCCCGGGGTCCTGGGATCGAGCTCCGTATCGGGCTCCCCGCTCCGCGGGAAGCCTGCTTCTCCCTCTCCCTCTGCCCCTGCTTGTGTTCTCTCTCTCGCTGTGTCTCTCTGTCAAATAAATAAATAAAATCTTAAAAAAAAAAAAAAATGCCTGTACAAAACGCACAGCTTGGGAGTTTAGCAGAATTCTACGTTCTAGTCCAGGAGTGGCAAAAAAAAATTTTTTTAATAAAAGTGCAGATAGCAAACATTTTCTTTGTGGGCCATACAGTCTCTATCCCAGCCACCTGATTCTGTCTTTATAGTAAAAATGGAGCTATATACTATATTAAGCAAAGAGATGTGGCTATGCTCCAAAAAACTTTACCAAACAGGCTGCTGGTCTGGAGGTGTTGTTCTAGCCCCATGAAATGGCATACCTTAGAAGAGCAAGAAAATCTCAATTTCCTGGGGTGCCTGGCTGGCTCAGTCAGTAGAGCATGTGACTCTTGATCTCAGGGTCATGAGTTCAAGCCCTACACTGGGCAAGGAGCCTACTAAAAAAAAAAGAAAAAAGAAAAAAAAAAAGAAAATCTCAATCTCCTAAAATCTTTCTTCTCTGTGTTTCCTTATTACTGAAGGGGGGATCCTAGTGGTGGTAACATGTTCCCATATAACATGGTTCCTGGAGGGTAGACAGGGCTGAATAGTATTAAGCTAGGCTATGGATGCTCTACGGGGACAACAAAAGGCCTGGCGTCCTGACTAATTCAGGGTCAGAAACACATAGAATGAAAAATTAATAATCTACTCTAGCTTTCTGGCTTTACTCCTTCACTTCTCAGAGCTTCAGGGGTTACAAGTTATCTCCCTAGCCATCGGGCAATGTCTCAGGGCCTCACCGTTGGGATGTTCTGTGGCTTCATCTTCATCTTCCCCTCGTTTAGACAAACCTCCTACAAATCACTATGCTTCCTGCACATACCTTCACCGTCCCCTCTCATCTAAATCACAACGTACCAAAAACTCTGGTGCCAAAAGCAAATCAGTATTAATAACAGGCAACTTTTTACTGAAATAAAACCATTGTTCGCAGTCCCAAAAGAGATATTTGCAGAAGAAATGCTGTCAAATGAACTGCAACTTTTGAATGCATCTGCTGTACAAGGCCATTTAAGAGCATCCTATTTGACTCCCCACATTTGACCTCATTCATGAAGTTGTACAGTGTGGTCACCACACAGTGAGCAGGGATGAGCAATGACAACTTTTAGAACTGCAAAAGAAAAGTGTATTTGGCCTCACATTATATGGTTGTGAATGGGATAAAGGCACTTTCTCAAATGGGATTCTACCTGTATCACCCAATGGGGGAAAGAACAGAGCTGCAGACTGGGCACAGAGAGAAGGCAAATCATTTCAAGGGATATGAACAGAGGAAAAAGTATCCACTGGAGTATTTTCTTAGGAATAAAGAGAGTGAGGGGCGCCTGGATGGCTCACTTGTTAAAGCGTCTGCCTTCAGCTCAGGTCATGATCCCAGGGCCCTGGGATCGAGCCCTGCATCAGGCTCCCTGCTCAGCTGGAAGCCTGCTTCTTCCTCTCCCTCTGCCCCTGCTTGTGTTCCCTCTCTCGCTGTGTCTGTCTCTATCAAATAAATTAAAAAAAAAAAAAAAAAAAAAGGAATAAAGAGAGTGGAGTCTGAGGTTGAATATGGCCACCAAATTAAGTTTACATAGTTAATTTTTCCTGAGTTATCACGGTATTTTAATAATAATCCAATTTTTAGAAATACATGTATCATCCAGAATGGTTTAGTAAAGCTTAACTCTTACAACCCTCAAATCCTTCAGGGAAAAAAGATATACCAGAATATACAACAGAATTTGTAGCTGTGTAAATGATCCTTAGAATCTTATAAAGGAGACTATTACAGTCAATTTTAACCAGTCAGGATAATTTCTAAATTAAAATAAGATGAACTTACCCACAGAATTTCAGATGAGACTAAAGCACTAGCAGAAGTTTTTCTGCTGTTTTCCATATTCCATGCTTAATTAAAAGATTTGCTGTGAACTACTGAGCAAAAGAACAGAAAAAGAATACATCTAAGTCATAACTCAACACCATCAAGCAATATAACATCTAAAATCAATGCTCTATACCCAGCAAGCTGCTAAGGAGCAAATTATTATACATCAACATTCTCCTCGTTTTTGGAAAAGCTTTGGTCCTCTCTTCTTCCTCCTTGCTTTTAAATCACCTCATGCATCCGCTCTGGAATTATAATTTGGCCACTGTTCTGGTAACAGGCTTTATTTTCATGGCTGGAATTACCCAATGACCATTCATTTGAATGAACCTTCTAGTCTAGAAGAAAAAAATGTTTGACTCTTATCTCTTAATAAATAGCTCCCTTCTCTAGACTGATAAAAGTTCAGATGCGCTTTTATCAGGTATCAACACATTCTGAGAGCACAAACTCAGCTCCCTACATCCCTCTAAGACACCTGGGGAAAGCTAAAACACAAACTTATTCTCAGTTGAAGACTGCAAACTCAAATCTTCCTTACGTCTGAAAACAGAAAAAAAGATATGGTTTGGTAATCTGTTCCTTGCTACTAGCTTTTCCTGACAAAGCAGCACGTCCTAAACATTGGTACTATGTGCAAAATAGAGAGGGGAAAAAAAACCCCATCTCTGCCTTGCAAATCTCCCTCCTAGTCCAACAGTGAGGAGTGGAAGAGAAGGAAATACGGAATGCAACGCATCATTCCTTACTGCTTGGAAAAGTGAGGCTCCATTGCACCTTTCAGATTTCTTTTCAAATGCCTGTATGCCGTTAAGATCGCCTCTTACAGCCCTAGCTCCTTGGGGTTTCCTTTTCTCTCTGCCCAATTCGCCCCTTCTCCTCCTTGGGTCCATATTCCTTACAATCCCTCCCGATGAAGAAGAACCCTCCCACAATCCGACTGCCAGGCCCTTCCCCAACGCCTTGGGAGTGCGTTCGCCCCGGGCCTGCTGGGAAATCCACCAAAACCGAGACACCGTCCCTCCTCTCCCCCCGGCAGTCGCGGCCAACGCGCCCCGGGCTGCTCCCCGAGTTTGTCGCCAGGGCGGCCCAGGGCGACGGCGATCCGGGGGCTGCGCCCTAAGGCAGAGCCGGCAGGACAGCGTGCTCCTTGCAGGCGCGGCCTGGGCCCGCCACGCGTCCCTGCGCCCCTCAACGTCGCCCAGGGCCCCACCGGGTCCCGTTCCCCCCCGCTCACCGGGATCCGGCGGCTAATCGTCGCCGAGGCCGGAGCCCCTGGGCGCGGCTGCTCCGGCGCCACCCCGGCCGCGCTCTGGGAAGGGCCGGAGTGGGCGGCACCGCCCTGCGCGCCTCCCGGCCTCGCCGCGCCGGCAGTGCCGTCCAGGGAGAAGCCAGTCCCAAGGCCACGCCCGCCACCCAGCCCTGGGGTCTCCAAGGCTTTCGGATCGCCCCCAGCGGCCCCGCCTGGCACTCACCTCCCGCGCGCGGCACGAAGCGGGCTCCGACGGCGGCTGGCGGGCCGCCGATGCTGCCGCCCCGCGCGCACACGCAGCCTCCCGCAGCCGCACGCACGGCCGGGCGCGCGCAGACCACGCGCCGAGGCCCGGGAGCCCCTTGCTCGCTCGCACGCACGCGCGGGCCCTGAGCCCCGCCAGCGCGGCCCCCCGCGGCCCGCAGCCGTGCGCACTCTCCCGGGCGCGCTCCGTCGCTCCTCGCCGTCACCTGGCGTTCCGAGTACGGTATGCGTTTTACATTTGGGGCTCGCAGAGGCTGGGCAACTTAGTGCCGGACCTCTGGCCGGGATTTTGCCCTGTTTACTAGCGGCGCAAATCCGCGGCCTCGAGGCAGTCCTGGAGGGATTTACTTGTTAGAGTCCGCAAAGAGCTGTTACGGAGAGAAGAAACCTCGGCAAGGTCCATATCGCAGAAGAAATGTGCGTTCTTCTAGAATCGATGGAGAATGAAGCGGTGCCGGGTGGACACGTCAGGTCACAATGGTCTGGTGTATGAACAGGAGTCCCAGGAAGTCGCTTGCTTTCGGGGAATTCATCTCGAAACTCCTCTTTGGTCTGGAGAATTCAAAGTCTGTCCTGCCCAGAGTCTTCACTAACTGGAAGAAGTGGTGAGGCTTTTAGGCGTGGGAGCTGGGTGTTGCTGTATGGGTTCTTCTGGTCGTGCCGGTCTTGGGTGGAGGTGGTTGAATTAATCCAGAAATAATGTTTCCTCTCCTCTCCCGACACCGCTGGCATAGTGCCCTCTGAAAACAGTTCCCCATTCAGGCCGCTTGGCTGTGGGCCTGTGAACAGCTTGGCTCCAGCATCACCACGTGGAAAGTTGAAAGAATAGTTCAGGGAGCACCCAAGTACTTAACTCCAAGGTTGAGTAAGTGTTAACCTTTTTCTCTCGCCTAAATATTTCAGCCTGCATTTCCTAAGTATAAAGACAGACATCCTTCTGTGCAACCGCATAAGAAACTTAATCATATCTAAGAAACTTAATAATGTGATGATATAACCTGATATCTAGCCCATATGCAAATTTCTCCAGTTGTCAAAAGATGTCTTATACATTGGTTTTGTAGAAAGATAGTCCAATGAAGATTCATGCATTGCACTTGTTATGTTCCTCTCTTTTAATGCAGAACAACTCCCCCCCCCACACACACACATTTTTTTGTTTTCATGGCATTAACTTTTTGGAGAGTCTAGGACAGTTAGCTGACAGAGGGTTCTGCTCTCTCCATTTGTTTGACCTTTTATTCCTCCTGATATCATTTAACCTTTTCTCTAGCTCCCGCATTTACTGTAAATTAGAAGGAAGATCAAGACGTTTGATTAGATGTAAAGAATCCTTCAGACTTTAGGAGGTGCTCTTCATATTGTTTCCCATCCGGAAGAACATAGTATTGAATATTAAACACATAATATTAATTTTTAAATATATAATATTAGGTTGCCCCAGTATCAACTGAAATCTGAATTGTCCTACAGATTTCTCTATATAATCCATTATAAAGTCTACTTTCCCTTTTGTGGTTAATAGGTAATCCAGGGAGTGGAGACTTGGGAGCTCTTTGTAGGAGAAAATCTTAGATTCCTGCAAGGAGAACACAGGTTAAAAATCCATTCATCTGGGTGGGCAGAGTAATCATCTGGTTCATTCTGGTACCTACTACCTCAGATCACCTTGTGATACATGCTTCATTGAATTAAATTCTAGCTTTATTCAAAGAACAGTAAAACTGTGGTCTCTTTAGAGTTTGGACCACTTTAGAGTTCCTGTGGTTAATTCTGTAAAAGCAGTGGTGCTTTCTATAGGTCTTGTGATGTATGCTTTAAGAAGATTTTATAGAGGCGCCTGGGTCGCTCAGTCAGTTAAGTGTCTGCCTTTGGCTTAGGTCATGATCTCAGGGTCCTGGGATTGAGCCCTTCATCGGGCTCCTTGCTTAGTGGGGAGCCTGCTTCTCCCTCTCCCTGCTGCTCCCCCTGCTTGTGCTCGCTCTCTGTCAAATAAATAAATAGGGCGCCTGGGTGGCTCTGTTGGTTGGGCGACTGCCTTCAGCTCAGGTCGTGATCCTGGAGTCCCGGGATCGAGTCCCGCATCGGGCTCCCTGCTCGGCGGGGGGTCTGCTTCTCCCTCTGCCCTCTTCCCTCTCGTGCTGTCTCTCATTCTCTCTCTCTCAAATAAATAAATAAAAAATAAAATCTTAAATAAATAAATAAATAAATAAATAAATAAATAAATAAATAAATAAAATCTTAAAGAAAAAGAAGATTTTATAAAATCCAGGAGTGTCCTATATGTACCTGGGCATACCTGATGTATACTACCCACTCCGTTCTAATAACAGAAACAAATCAAGAGTATGTAATGCTGTATGTTATCTCTGCCTGTGGTCCTCTGGTCTCTGACTCATATAAGTATCTATGGATGTGAGCTCATCCGTTTTAAGCTCATAAGCTGTGCTGGGCAAGAGCTATGTCAAGTTTACTCTATATGACAATGACTGCCTCAACTTCCCCAAGAGAACTCTCAAAGGGCATCATCTATTGCACAGACAAATGGAGAGTTCTAGGGCGCCTGGGTGGCTCAGTTGGTTAAGCAACTGCCTTCGGCTCAGGTCATGATCCTGGAGTCCCGGGATCGAGTCCCGCATCGGGCTCCCTGCTCGGCAGGGAGTCTGCTTCTCCCTCTGACCCTCCCCCCTCTCATGCTCTATCTCATTCTCTCTCCCAAATAAATAAATAAAATCTTTTTAAAAAAAAAATGGAGAGTTCTAAACAGACAACCTATATCCTACTTCTCAAAAGAGGACAATTTTTGTAAGTTGGTCTAAGTCACTGGGTTGTATCAGTGATTTTCATTTGCATCAGCTAATTAGTGTCTGCTCTTGCCCCTAACCGTTGACCTGAATTTCGTCAAAGTCAGCATACTAAAAGTCCCAAAGCCCGAAGCTGCAAGGCAGAAGCGAGCCTTGTAAGTGATGTAGCATCATTTTTGTCACATTCTATTGGTTAAAAGCAAGTGAAGGACTATTCAAGGTTCAAGTGGAGGAGATCAGACAAGGGCATGATCACTGGGAGAGGAGGGAAATATTTGGAAAGGAGCTACCACACTGCTCTAGGCCAAATGCAAGTCCAGATGTGTGGTATTGATCGTATTAGTCCTTTGCTCAAAATCTGGTGGGTCTGTGTCATCTCATCTATTGAACTTTGAGCCTAGCCATAACTGGCCATCCCCAGATGTAACCCACACATTTGCTTCAGCTGTAAGTATGGCCTGCTGTTTCTTCTGGTTTACAGATTCCTTGGTTCACCTGCTGCTGCTTCCTTGTCAGACTGCTGCTTTCCTTTGTCCGCAAAAGGGAAAGAATAGAGGAGTGAAATATGCATTTAAAAATCATTTGTGATAATTTGAAGGTTCTCTGAAAAATAATATAGGTGAATATAGGAGTTAAAATGGGTATACAACAAAACTATATTTAGATAGTAGTAGTGGAAGTTCAGGCTAAGTGAATATTCAGGTCTAAATCACTGTTGTGATTCTTTTCCTGGTTCCAGCCCTGGCAGATGGCTGTGCCCTTTGCAAAGGGTAAAGTGATTATTGCTACCTAATGCCTTTATCACAGCCATTCTTCACCCCACCTTGGCTGACAGTTTACCTCACTAAGGAAAGGAAGTCCATTGATAACAAAACTAGGCAAGCTCCATTGCAAATAGTTAATCTAAGGGGTGGAAAGACCTCTGTATTTGGAAGGATGCTTTAGGACATTGATATTATATCTTATAAATTCTGTATTTTTTATTTTAGAAAAGTTACAGTTCAATACTTGTTTTTTTTTTTTTTAAAGATTTTATTTATTTATTTGACCGAGAGAAAGCGAGAGAGGGAACACGAGCAGGGGGAGTGGGAAAGGAAGAAGCAGGCTTCCCGCTGAGCAGGGAGCCCGATTTGGGGCTCGATCCCAGGACCCCGAGATCATGACCTGAGCCGAAGGCAGTCGCTTAACCGACTGAGCCACCCAGGTGCCCCAATACTTGTTTTTTTTAAGGATTTTTTATTTTTAAGTAATCTCTACACCCAATGTGGGGCTCGAACTCACAACCCCAAGATCAAGAGTCACATGCTCTGCTGACTGAGCCAGCCAGGTGTCCCCCAATACTCACTCTAAAAATGTTTTGAACATCCCATGAATAACTAGTATGTATGTGTGCTTGTAGCTGCCAAAATCTCCCTAGAATGAAAAACAGAGCCATGGACAGCCAGATTGGGATAAGAAATCCACCTAAATTAAACGAGTGAGAAGAAAAGGTCCAAAACCTTTTAGAGATTATTTCCTTTGAGGAAGTCTCTTTGTTCATTGTGTAGCATTTAGCAGCTTATGATTCAGTTCCCCATTGCGGTAGAACAAACTCTCCCATGTATTAAAAATATATGTTTGATATTTCTCACAATTCTGAGAGTTGGTTGGTTGGTTCCTTTGTGGTTTTGTTTGGGCTTACACAGTTATGTTCAGCTGTAGCAGGGATCAGCAAAATTTTCAATAAAGAGCCTGATAATGCGTATTTTAGGCTTTGTCTCTGTTGCATATTATTCTTATTTATTTCTTTTCTTTTTTTTTTTTTTTTTGCAAACCTTTGAAAAGCAAAAGCTATCCTTAGCTCAAGGGCCCAACATAAAAACAGTCTGAGGGCCAGATTTGGCCCTTAAGCTGTAGTTTTCCAAACCCTGAATTGAAGAGTCAGTTGAGTTGAAGGTCCAAGGTAGTCTCACATGTCTGGCAGTTGGTGATGCTATCAGTTGAGGGCCACGATTCTTCTCCTGGAGAATCTTCCAGGAGGATTCTCTCATTGACAGGAGGATGTGGCCCCTCAACCTT